CCCCAAAACCCCAAAACCCCAAAACCCCAAAACCCCGGAATTTAAAGATCAAATTGAAATTATTGCTCATTAAGCAACATTAGATTTTACGAAGAAGCCATACAGCCAGACGTACAGAATGAAGTAGATCGGGATGAACAAGGCGAAGAACTCAATCCATGCTAATTTAAGTACTTGTATCACTGATGTATAGTGCCAAACTGGCTGAATAAGAGGCACATCTATAATCATCTTTACTTTTGTAGAAGTTGTTTTAGCATTAGCTGGCATTGAGGTGATGATTGGCTCAGCAGTATATTCAGTAGTCTGGTTTCTGCTAACATAGAGATCGAGAATTCCTCTAATTCCGTAATCATTGAAGTCATCTTCGAGAGTAGTGTTGTAAAGTTCTCTTTTAATAGTTCCTTCAGCAACAGGATTCTTTTGTTTGAGGTCTAAATCACCTCTCATTTGAGCATATTGAATACCTCCATCAAGAGGAGCAGTCAATGACTTGTAGACCAGAGTTTTGAATTGGGTATTAATCTCTCCTCCAAGGGTATATTGGAGGTAGAATAGCAAGTTTAGACCTTTGACCTGCTCGGTAGATAAATGGAAAAACTCAAATTCCAAAGTTAGAGTCTCTGCTTTAAGGTCATCATTCCGATCAAAAGGTGTCACTGTCAACTGAGGATTTTGAATCAAGCTAGAATACTCCTTATTGATATTTTCGACTGTTGAATATTGCTTAACTGTTGTTCCAATTAGGGCTTCCGCAATAAACTCATTGGTAAATTTAACATCTGGTTGTTCATAAGCCACTTTCTCTCTTATGATAAAATTATTAGTCGCTATGGCTAGTATAAGTGGCAGCAGAGCCAAGAGCACTGTAATTACCAGGCACAGAAGTGTAGCCGCGCTTCAGTTCCTGTTCTTGAAGTGAATTGGGTAGTGGGCTATGTATACATTTACCATTTCGCTCTCTTTTTATTAACAAATTATTTTAAATTCTTACAATTGGGGTTTTGGGGTTTTGGGGTTTTGGGG